CCAACATTCGATGGGTAATTGGAGCAAAAGTGGGAGCAGAGCGCATGTAAATTAAGGAAGAGCATAAAAGAGCGCCCGTGTGTTTTCATTGGAATATTCTCCCACATTTTTTTCCAATTAATTAAAGCTTAAAAAAATGTTCAACACAATTTGAATTTATCGCATTTATGTATCGAAATATAAGGCCTGACCTATGACAAGAACTTTTGCTTATGCTCGTGCGCCTTATTGAAATATGTAAAAAAATGAAATTTTTTGCAAGCTTCTTCTTATTTGGCGCTGTAACCGCTTAAGCGATTTTGGCCGAGTTCAACAAAGCACTCCAGTCGTTTATCTTTTGTGCCAACTAACCCAAATTGGAAATGTCAAGTGAAGCCAAGTCCTTCTCCACTTGGTCTTTCCATAGCAGTGAGGGCCTCCTTCTTGCTCTGCTACCACCAGTGCGTTCCGAGTTGAATACTTTCAAATCTGGAGGGTCGGTGTCCAATCCATCATTTCACGGCGTCAAGAAGGCGGCCACTAGGGTCTTGGCTTGGATTGGGGTAGTAGCCAGCTTGGGGAAACCGGCAGGCACTGCTCCAAAGAGGCAGCGATCAGCTGAACAGGCAAGGGATAGATAGATTGTTAGAGGCTATGCACTACGACCTTAGGTTTATTGTGCCATGCAGGGGATAGGGTCACCAAAAGACCAAAAACAGACGGCCATGAATTCCCTTCTTTCAGGGATGTAGTAAAGCGAGGCGGTAAGGTACTAGCCATCGTCGAAGGAAGGGAGTAGGAAGAGACTATCCCCAAAGAGAAATGGAGGTGGGTAGAGGAAGCGAATACCGAAATCTACCTCCAAGTCCTAGAGGAAAACCCTGGACCTCCTCCTCTCTACTATAATTGCGGCTGGTATCAGGGTAGATCAAAGCCCATCGCTTGCGAGGACTACAGGTCAGCCCAACTCTTGCACTTGCAATGCATAATTGGAATATAGGGAATATAGAGGAGCCGGTAGAAGGCAGAAGCCAGGGGTTGCGGGTTCTCAATGCCGAATTGCTTGCTCCAATGGCGCAGAAGGATTGGGCGGTGAGATTCGGGCTTGTTGATGCAACCATGCAGCGGTGGTGAAGAAGGGTTACCTAACAACAGTCAGTCCTCATCCAACTCTGAGAGGCTTACCGTTTTGGGCCGCTATTCTACGAAGCGGACATAATGTGCACTAAGAAATCAAAAATATGTTCTAAATACTAAAAAATATGAACTAAAAAGAAAAAAATATGCAAAAAGACTTCTTGCCTTTGTTTTGCTTCCCTAATTTTTATTTACTTTTCATATCTTATTACAAGTCTATAATTAACACAAGTCACGGTCGTGATACAAATGAAAAAATAATTTTTAGTGCCACGAAAAACTCAAAATTAATTAATTTGTTGGGAAATAAGTAAATAGTTCTTTAAAATTTTAAAAGTTAAAGCTTTCCCTATTTGGCCGCGAAAATGTTTTGTATACAAACGAGTAACGTGCAGTAACTTTGGGTAAAATACCTTCAGCGCCTTTGTTGTTTATACCATATCGAGCCCTAACCGCCAAAAAAACGTAAGCGACATATTTGTCAAAATATCTAGATGTATGTAATTCTGCATCAAAAAGAAATTTTTGAAAAAAATGTCGCTTACGGTTTTTTGGCAGGTAGGGTTCGACATACCTATGGCCCTGGGTTAGTGACATTAAAATAATTTGCGACGAAATCAGTACCCAATAGTTGCATGGAATCATCAAATGCTCTTGCAATTGTGGAGTGATTCGTCCGCTTTAGACAAACGACGTTTGATAAAAAATGCAATTAAATATGCTTTTTTGACAGACGCCCTCTTGCAGCCGCACCTACTGGTGAACAGACGCTGCAGATTCAGTGAGCCTTTAAACCGAATAAGGTGGAGTGTCACCACCGAAGCTCCCTATATTTCTTCCGTGACCCAAAGCTTAAAGTGTTTTGACTCGATTTCCTCAAAGGGCTACATTGTTCCTCCAAGTAAAGTTTCGGTGGAAGTGGATCTTCAGTGATTGTTTGACATACTTTCAGTTGAGCTGGTATGCATCTAAAACTTTGCTATGATGAATAATTAAAATTCTGGAAAATAAATTCTAGATTCAAAATTATTTTGGCCCTAAACTAAGACTTACATATGTCTGCTCTTTTTTTATTATTCTTTTAATTTTACTCTTTATTATTACAGCGGGGTATTTTTTGACCATTTTTATTTTTCGTGAGTTCTTGCTGACTCATCGTGCATTGAACAAAATTTTGGTGAATATTTTGGCTGAAGTTTGTCTGCAAATATGTAATTTTTCTCAAACCACAAGCAAAATTTTGTTGTATCTGCATCTTCAAGAAGATTTATTATAACAAGTAATTTTTAGCAAAAAAAAAACCGACTTCAACTTTCATATAAAAAAAAAATATATATATATATCTCACGATCCACTGATCGGATCTTAACCAGATTAGTATGGGACCACCTCTGAGATACTAACTTTCCGATGCAAAAAGAATTATCGAAATCGGTTGACGTGGTCCAAAGTTATGCGGCAACATACATAAAAAAAAAACAAAAAAAAAAAAGATTCCGACGAACTGATAACCTCCTCCTTTTTTGGAAGTCGGTTAAAAATGATTACAGTACTCACGAGTGTTTAAGAACGATTACTAACACAATCGCCTAAATGCATGCTACGTACTGCTGCATATGTAAAAGTTTATGACATATTTGCACATGCACTTCCCAACTGCCATGTAATAAAACTTTCGTAAGTTATAATTTGATGGCAGTCCCCTCAGATGACAAATTAGATTAAGCTTAAAAAATCTGCATACAAATATTAAAATTTTTTTTTTTTGTATGTGGAGTGATGTAGTCTAACGTACATAATACCATAAACATTGCCAGAAAGTTTGGGCAATACTATTGAATTGACAGTCATTGGCCCGAAGTATGTATACATGTATACATATGTACATAACAGGGAACGTATCGCAAAGAATTGTGACATAAAGGTACTTAAAGATTAAAATACCGATGAATCACTAGAACCAAAATCGATATTTACATATCTTTCATATACAACAGAATTTATTTGTACAAGATAATCATAAAAATACATTGGCGCTGTTTCAGGGTGTTGTGAAAATGGTCTTGGATTTGCAGTTGGAACTGCATTTGCAAAATTTTGTGCTTGCTGCCATGGTAACCGTGTGCATTTTATTGTTGTGAATTTACAAATGCCCTATTCTCATTACGACTGTTGAGTGGAGGGTCGACCTATCTCGGCAGCCAGTTCGAAAACGCCCTATCTTAAAAAACATTTCAAGAACGCCCTATTTCAGAATTTTATTGAAAAACTCCCTATCTATATATATTTGATTGAAGAACACCTTATCTCATAATTCGGCTCAAAAACATCCTATCTCACTTTAAAAAAGAGTCCGACCGATGCCAAGGCTAGTATCAGCCAAAAGAATCGGAATCGGCCGTTTTTGGCCGATTCTTGAATGAGGTATTGTTATTTAGTTATATGATTATGTTTTTCTTTCGTTATAAAAATTTATAAAAGCATTTGTTCCTAAAATAAAATTATATTCAGGATTTATTCGGCAAAGAATCGGTCGATGCTTCGGCCGATTAAATGCTGAATTAAATTCATTTCAAGAACATACGCTTTTATAAGCTTTTATAATAGCAAAAGAAAAACATAATAAAATAACTAAATAACATAACCTCATTCAAGAATGGGCCAAAAACGGCCGATGTCGGTTCTTTTGGCCTATACTAGCCTCGGCATCGGCCGATTAATCGGTCGGACTCTACTTCAAAATGTATTGAATAGGCAGCTGAGTAGGGCGTTTTTGAAACGAATTCTGAAATAGGGCGTTCTTCAACCGAATTCTGAAATAGGGCGTACTTGAAAAATTGTATGAGTGCATATGCTCGACAATTTCGTTTGTATGGGAGAAAATGCCTGCACCATCAGCAAAATAAAAATTATTAAAAATTAATTTTTAGCCTTTTAAAATTTGCACTTTAACCTACTACAATTTAATGAGCTACAAAGCTGCATACCCAGAATTTTTCTGAGTAGAAAGTTTAAAATTTCCGGGTGCAAATGTTAAAGTTTTTCGAATTTTCATAAATTTTATACGAAGTTTGAGGTGTGGATTGATGTGGAGCTGGTTAGGTAAAGTGCTAAGCTTTTATAAAAAAATTATAAATATTAAATAAACAAAGGAGAAATAGCCCAAACTAGTCAAAATGTCACTTGACTTAATCAGCTGACCATAAGTGTAGCTACATACATACATATCTACATATATATATTCCTCTGATGTTCTGTGTATAGCGGTTTTTTTCGACGTATTGCATTATTTTCATAAAATAACGATGCAAATTCCAAAATCCCGATTTTAATCTGCTCGAGTATCAAATTTTAAATTCATACTACGCTTTAATTTGTAACATTATTTCCCCAAAAATTCACTTGCTCACTTTTATGGAATGCACGTTACAGTTATTAATTTCCGTTTAGTTTTTTACAGGCGTCCAAATAAAACGTATTATAAATAAATAAAACGTATTATAATAAAACGTACATAGTTATGGCTGGTGAGTTGGTTATCCCTTGATTTAGCGTGGTTTCGCAATATAAAAATGACATCACTTAACCATTTCACTGAGATGGTAGAAGCCCATATATACACTTTTAAGTTCATGAATCTAATAAGTTCATGCAAATTTTCTCCTAAATAGACATGGAAATGCATCATCAAAGAAACGGAAAAAACCCGTTAAGTTCGCTCAGCGAATATGCAACTATCGTTTCCGTTTAGAGTTTGTTTTAATTTCCTACTGCAGGGCGACATCTTGTGATTTAAATATGCGAATTTATCCTACACTAAAATGGCTGCCAATTTGACAGCTGTCATATTTGACATCTGTCAAATTTGTTGACGATCTGGCAGCAACGCCACTCCTAACCTTCCTTTTTACATTAATTTCTTTGCGGTGTACACGTGTTTTCCAAAATGGCACCCGTCGAAGTTGCTAAAAAGTCCGCGAAAACGGGCAAAAAGAACCATAAGCATCCGCTAAATAAATATCTTAGCGGCGGAGTGCTGCGATACTCCAAAAGCCAGGTAAAAATTGTGGAAATGTGATGGTGAAAAAGGCAGACGAAAGCGCACTTCGGGCAGCATGGCGCTACTTTTCCATTAGCAGCATGATATACCACCACAAAATTGAGTGAAAAATGCAAACTAAGTTTGTTCGCAGTTTGATAATCGTTAATTTCTCTAAATAATCTTTTATGCAAAAAGTGTAAATGATTTAGTAATTGTTTTAAATTGCAGTTACTAACATGTACACAGTTTTACACATCCATACATACATGTGTTCAGTGCCGTAGCTTGCTTGTCATCTTTATAACAAAGCCCTTAAAAAAATATCAAGTGAACTAATCTAATTGTTTAATGTCTTATTTGCAGATGTACAAGCGTCGCGCTTTGTACCGATTGAAGAATGTGAAACAACCTATTGTTCCGAAAACCAAGATCCCCATCAAGAAGATAAAGAAAATCAATGGACCGAAGAACGGAGGTGAACGTACCGTTTACCTAAAGAAACCAAAGGCCAATTATCCAACCAAACGTTTCGTCAAGAAGCGTCCCGCTAAGGCGTTCTTTAGCAACCACAAACGCAACATTCGCCGCAATCTTACTCCTGGACGTGTTCTGATTTTGTTGGCTGGTCGCCACCAGGGCAAACGTGTTGTGCTACTGAAGGTGTTGAGCTCTGGACTTTTGCTCGTTACTGGTCCATTCGCTTTGAACTCGTGCCCATTGCGTCGCATTTCACAGCGCTTTGTCATCGGTACATCTTCCAAGGTGAATTTGGGTGATTTAAAAGTTCCACAACACTTGGATGATGCCTACTTCCGTCGCTTGAAAATCAAGAAGGATAAGAAATCTGGTGAGGGTGACATCTTCGCTGTCAAGAAAGAACGCTTTGTTCCCAACGAACAGCGTAAGAAGGACCAGAAAGAGGTTGATGCTGCCGTGTTGAAAGCAATCAAAGCACACCCAGAGGGAAAATTCTTCAAGAAATACCTGCAAAATATGTTTGCTTTGCACTCATCGCAGTACCCACATCGTCTGCGATTCTAAAGATTGCATAGGGGACGAAATAATGAATGTTGTCGCGCATTCAGGTTTTCTTTAGGATTTCCGTTTTTTTAATTTTTATGTCAACACTAACTCAAAAAAATATAAAATTAAAAACAAATTGGAATTTGTTATCAAACAAGGGGAATTTCTGAGGGTCTCAGAATATAACATGGAAATTTTATATTTGCGCAAATGGTCTGTTTCAATGAAAGTTTTTTATCTGAGGCGAATACATGCAAGGTTGGCATTTCCGGAAGTATTAGCTTTTTATGTGGATTAGGATTTTCAGCGACCAGTTTTAAAATTTTAAATATTTTAGTAGGGGGAAGGGAAATATTGAAAGTGTAGCCTTAGAAATGTGTGAGCGCCAGGTATTTAGTATTTTTCTTGATAACCAATAGTAATTAAAATACACATACGAATGTTAAATCTTTAATACATATTACATACACAATTTATTGCTTTTTTTTAGAGTAATTTGCATGAGGATTTGTGTTATAAATATCGTGAATTAAAGCATAAATAGCCCAAAATTTATATGCATATGCATTCATATCTAAGTAAAAATAGCAAACGTAAAAAGTAGAATATCCCCATATCCAACTAAATGTATAATTTTTTTACTTAAACTATTAGGCACTGGTGCCAAACCATAATTAACTTATTAAAATCAGAATTGTTTAAATCATAATCACGCATTTAGTATGTATAGCATCTTTATGTCCATTCGAAGTAATTATGTAGTATATATTCAAAATGCATTTATTCCAAACCCATTGCATATTTAAACTTGCGTCTTCCTTGAATATACCACATAGTCTCGTGATAGGATCGTGGCAGTACCTGGTGTACAGTCTCATTTGATTTATAAGTACTATAGAAAACGTTTGTAGTAACTTGATTACTACCACCGGCACTTGTATCCAACACATCCGCCACCGTCATTATTTGTAGATAATTTAATTCGGTGTACACAACGTAAGAGGTTAGCTTTATAAACGATGCAACTGGAACGGGCTTTTCAAAGCTTATGTCGCAAATATGCAACAATTTTGGCCGTACGCTGCAGTACAGGAATGCAGCCGTCCAACTATTTTCCAAAGCCAAACGCATCAAAAATCCGCCGAATACTGTATTATGCGCGTTGCGATTTTCCGGAAAAGATGGTATTGTTGTTACTGTGCTCCATTCGGACATCCAACGCGCATTAGCCGGCAACAAACGTTTGTTCAATTCCATTGTATTGGTATCCGTGGTACGCTTGTAAATGTCATACATCAAAGTTTGCTCAAAATCATTTGGTTCTACTCTAAAAATAGATTGCGCTTGGATTATTTGGCGTCGCTTTTTGCGTTCTTCACCACCGGAAAGTATTTCCCTCTCTTCATCCGTCGCTGGTTCAATGGGATTTACTGGGGCGGCGCCGGTATTAGTGGCATTACGGGCACCCATAAGAAAGAGCGCACGAGTTATTTTCTTATATTCGCCATGATGCTTTTGCTCTACCCAGACAACGATTTCCATTGAACTCCGTCCAACCCAGGACGTATGTCCAGAGAAACGGATATCTTCTTTGACGTCGGTTACCAAATCGCTAAAACTAACTTTATCCACCAAGATCGTGACGAAGGTGTATGGCAACTTAACATCGGCGGGTAAAGTTGGTACCTTAACATGCTGATGAGCAACCCATACTAAAAGGAACAAATATAATATTTAGATAATTAGGTACATATATGTAAAGCGTTAGGATTTCTATGTTCTTATCAAGGCAATTTTGGTGGTCACATAGTGTTAAACTAAAATGCATAGATATAGTACATAACTGCATACATATATATGAATCTGCGAATATATGTACATACATAATTGCTTAATAACTTGTGGTTTTCCCATAAAAAATAATATACATATACATATGTGTATTATCAGTATTTACGGGCTGCTTTGTACTACCACCAGCAATTTAGTATTATCTACTAATCTTAAAAATCACAAATAAATACCTGCAAACGCATCCAAATCTTCCATTAAACGTCCCATACGTACGTTACCTAAATGTGAGACATAATTATCTTGTAGCTTCAAATCCGTACTGAGTGGAAGCGCAGCTGTGGTGTAGGAATCCTGCATTGAACGTGGCGGTAAATCTTCCGCTTTTGGCGTGTACTTTAGCAGATGTTCACGGCTCCTGGGTATGGGATGGTAGCCCCTTTGCAGACCCAAGCGTTGTCTTATCTCAGCTTGTACTATTAAGCGATTTATAAACAGTAAAATAAAGTAACGTACAGTGAAAGGTATTATAAATTGATTCAGTTTCACCTTCATCCATAGTATGTGTCGGCGTCCCCACATTCTGCCCCTTCAAGGCCGTTGCAAATTTTGCAATAGATCTAAAATTATTGAATAATTGCGTGTTACTGACCTTGAAATCAGATATTTAAAAACTTGTCATGTGCATAACGCTTTGTTATACTTACAGCAAGTTTGTTCTGGGAGAAAGTTGTTGACGTAATAAGGCAACTGCACCTATTCGCAATACCCTCATCATTTTGAAAAGAATAATTTAGCAATCCAATAATATTATTTTAATAGGAGTTTGTACTCTTGGCCTTTCACTTGCTAAAACCAGTCAAGACTTTTTGTTTACAATTTGCTTATCTCGAAGAGGTTGCCAACTCTTGAGAATGATTGTTCAGAAATTTTCACGATGTTGTTAAGGAATAACTACATTATTTTCATGCGAATAGAAAATCGGACGTTCTAAGTAGACATTTGTATTAAAATTAGTATATATTTTTCAGAAACAAACTAACTTTTCCCCGTTTAATAATTCTAACTACTGTTTGGATAGCAGTTTTTTCTTTCATTATATGAGGCACGGAAACCCTAATTTAAGGAAACAGCTGATGCGGGTATTTTACAATCCTCTTGCAAGCAGCGACATCTCTCCAAATATGGGGTCGCCTTGGAATGAGTAATCATAAAAATGCTTTAAGTCATTTATTGATTTTTTTTTAATAAATAATTTGCATTGCTTATCGTTTACATAAAATTCAAGAGCTAACAAATAAATGGTTAAAATTACTACATGCATACGTAAAAAAATATCACATGTAAAATAAGTACATATAACATAATCCCGAAAGTTCAAATAATTATATATGTGTGTATAACAGTTTTTACTTAAGCTATTAGTCACTGGCCGAAAATCACAATTAACTTATAAAAATCGCTATAGTTAAAATTAAGCATTATGTAAATATTTTAAGCATCCTTTAGCATATTCGATTGCATTTACGTATACCATTTAAAATCCATTTATTCCAACCCCATTGCATATTTAAACTTGCGCCTTCCTTGAATATACCACATAGTCTCGTGGTAGGATCGTGGCAGTATCTGATGTACAGGCTCATTTGATTTATAAGTACTATAAAAAGCGTTTGTAGTAACTTGACCTGTGCCACCACCACTTGCATCCAACACATCGACAACCGTCATTATTTGTAGATAGTTCAATTCCGTATATACAACGTAAGAGGTTAGCTTTATGAATGATGAAACTGGGACGGGCTTTTCAAAGCTTATGTCGCAAATATGCAACAATTTAGGGCGCCCACAGCAGTACAGGAATGCAGCTGTCCAACTATTTTCCAAAGCCAAACGCATCAAAAATCCACCAAAGACTTTATTATGTGCGTTACGGTTTTCCGGAAAAGATGGTATTGTTGTTACTGTACTCCACTCGGACATCCAACGCGCATTAGCCGGCAACAAACGTTTGTTCAATTCCATTGTATTGGTATCCGTGGTACGCTTGTAAATATCGTACATCAAAGTTTGCTCAAAATCATTAGGTTCCACTCTAAAAATTGATTGTGCTTGTATTATTTGGCGTCGCTTTTTCCGCTCTTCACCACCGGAAAGTATTTTCCTCTCTTCATCCGTAGCTGGTTCAATAGGATTTACCGGAGCTGGACCGGTATTGGTGGCATTACGGGCACCCATAAGAAAGAGCGCACGAGTTATTTTCTTATATTCGCCATGATGCTTTTGCTCTAGCCAGACAACGATCTCCATTGAACTCCGACCAACCCACGACATATGGCCAGAAAAACGTATATCTTCCTTGACATTAGTTACCAAATCGCTAAAACTCACTTTATCTACTAATATCGTGACGAAGGTGTATGGCAAGTTAACATTGGCAGGTAAAGTGGGCACTTTAATATGCTGATGCACAACCCATACTAAAAGGAACAAATATAAAAATATTTAAACAAAACGGTTTTTGTAAAATGTTAAGATTTATGTATGTATGTACGTACATATGTATATGCTCTATCAAGTTGATTAAGTGCAAAGAAACTTAAAAATAAAATACCAAGTGCTTGGAAAAAATAAGAAAAATAAGACATGTATGTACATACATACATACATACATACATACATACATATGTATGTATGTACATCAATGCTGGGCATTAAATGAAAAATAAATAAATTAATAACTTTGTTGAGTATTAAAAATACTTGTATCATTATGTTAATGAAGATAGTCATTAAGTTTATTTCCACAATGTCTAGTAGCAATTCGGCAATAGATACTTTTGAGCAGTTTATTTTGAAAGTAACATAAGTCATTTCATGCCGTTTGACTTTAGTGACAATTTGTATTTTTATCTGGACGCGCCTTTTATTCGTTCAATTTAATCAGCTAAAGGTAAATGGGCTTTTTCATAAAAGATAAAGCAGGTTTAAAGAGTTAAAATTGACGTTTTCATACATTTTTCAATTTATAAACCATTTTTAAAGCTACTTTATTTTTAATGAATAAGGCCAAAAAAGTTTAGTCTTTAGTTTATGACGATAGAAAGATTTACATTAAGACGAAACCAACCATTTAAGCACGAGAGGTGGAAATGACTAATAACACTTTCAAAATAAATGGGCAATAGGTACGTATTAAAGTACTGCAAAATTCAAATTTTTTTATTTGCTCACACAAGCTCTTGGCTCAATCCTTATCCATTCCCCTGAAATATACTAGCCAGAAATGCGATTGCTTTATAAAAAAGAGAACCATTTTGAAATATGAGTGTTTTTACGCTCTAGAAAATAATTTCTTCAACTTCACATACGCGGTTTTGCATTTTGCTGATACGCGGTTTTTCATTTTGTTGATACGCGGTTTTGCACTTTAAACGACGATATATAGATTTTTAATTAGTCAATTGTTTGATAAATTTTACTATAACAGGAGCTTGTAAAATTCGCAAAATCTCTTCTCATATATGTATACAATGTAATTAATAATGCTGAATATGTCGCATGTGTTTCTTGTGTTGATTTGATTTGTTGTGTTTGATTTGAATTTATTCCATAAATGGTGTTACAACAGCTTTTTTTGATATTTAAGTATGTATGTACATATGTATGTATAACATTGTTCCCTGGTATTTGCACAATTAAGTGCTTTCGCAATGACCAACCAAAATGCATAGACATATACTAGGTTCACATATAAGTAGATTATCCTCATTTTCGAGCTTAACACCCTAATCTGTAATTATAACAAGAGATTAGCCATATAAAATTCGTCCCTTGTTAATCTGTAATTATAAAATAATCTCAGATTTAACCGATAACTTTTCGGTGTCCATCCTAGTTTTATCGATTGTTTTTGCGAAAAAGAGAAGAAATGCCAAAATGTAAAAGTAAACAAAAATGTACGCCAGCAAGTAAAAGAGGTTTGTTAAGGTACTTTTAATAATTGTTAAGTTAAAATATATTAATATTGCTTAGTATAGCAGAAAAACGTGATCACGGTGGCACAGAGAAGAAACATAACTTTTCCTTGAGATGTGAGAATAACAAGCACAACAAATTTGACGGCTAATAATCTGAGATTTGCCTGTGTAAACGGGGTGATTAAAAAACGAGCTTTGCTTGAGATAATATTGATATGTGAACATAGTTATACATACATACATATGTATATATGAATAGAATGGCTAATTAATTTTTGTTGTTTTCTCATCAAATATCACGTATAATCAGCTAACACAACAATTTAGTATTATCTCCTTACGTCTGAAAGATCACTAATAAATACCTGCAAACGAGTCTAAATCTTCCATTAAACGGCCCATACGTACGTTTCCTAAATGCGAGACATAATTATCTTGAAGCTTCAAATCTGTACTAAGCGGAAGCACAGCTGTGGTGTAGGAGTCCTGCATTGAACGTGGCGGTAAATCTTCCGCTTTGGGTGTGTATTTTAGCAGATGTTCACGGCTCCTGGGTATGGGATGGTACCCCCTTTGCAGCCCCAAGCGTTGTCTGATTTCAGCACGCACTATAATATTGATAGTAAAATAAAGAAAAGCACAACGGAACATTCATAGATTCAGGTTAACCTTCATCCATTGTAAACGACAACGTCTGCACATCCTGCCCTTTCAAGGCCGTTGCGAATTTTGCAACAGTACTAAAAGTATTTAACAATTGCGTATTATTCACCGTAATATTGATTTATTTAAGCATATTGAGTGTCCTCTGCAATAACGACACAACTCAAAACTGAAAAATAAACGTTACTACAGTTAAGTGTCTCATGTCTCTAATCCTTACTATATCTTTATAAAGCGGTCATAGAGATTTAGTAAAAATTAGACATGGACTAGACAAGGCTTGGAACGTGCGCTCTGTTCAGTAGTAAGTTTTTTTTTAGTTTGAAGCCGTGGCGTTATTGCAGAGGACAATAGATATGTAGGTACTTGTTCAAATGCATATCAATTTGTTATACTCACATCAAGTCTGCTTTGAGAGAAAGTTGTTGACGTAATACGACACGTGAACCTATTTGCAACACCCTCAACATTTTGATACAAATAATTTAGGAATCCAATAAGAATATTACTTAAATAGGCGTTTGTCCTTTAGTTGCTTAAACCAGTCGAGCCTTTTTCACCATTCTCGATTCACCGTATCTCGTAGGGGCTGCCAACTCTGGAGGAAGACTGCTTAGAGCCTAAACTTTAAATTTCCACGACGTCGTAACAGAATAACAGGCTACTAAATGGACAAATAAAACTAAATACTTATTTTCAAAAATAAACTAACTTTTCGCCGTTCGTTAACTCAGACTACGGTCCGAACAGCTGCTGTTTTTTCTTTATATGGCCCTCTGCAGTTACCCTGCAGGAAAACTTGAGTTAGAGAAACAGCTGGTGCTGATACTGTGCAGCGACATCTCCCGACTGAGTGGGCACACAGTAGCAAAGCTTTAAAGTGAAGGCAGGTTAAAGTTTCACACTGGCGGAAGTTAACTGAACTTTCTGAAACCGGATGTGTAAGCAATTATACGGTTTTTATTTAAAAATTATTAGTTAACGAGTAACTTTATTTTAAATTTAGAGAAGTGGAGAATCGATGACGGCTATTATGCGAAATGTTGAGGAAAAAGTATGGCAGTGTTGCGTTTTTCTTGCATGGCGAAGGGCTGCCGAACAGGGCTCAAAGAAATCTGGCGCAAACGGTCCTTAATAGGTTAGTTGATTTCCTGTTCCTTAACTTAATGGTCAATTAACTTGAAAATAGTTTCTTTCAAATTGAATTAAGTTTCACTGAATCTGGAAATAGTTTCACTTGATTCGAATAAAGTTTCGCTTCATATGAAAAAGGTTTCATTTAATTTGAAAAAGGTTTCATTAAATTTGAAAAAGGTTTCATTAAAATTTTAAATGCTATAAATGGGACTATTATATTAACACATTTTCGGGGAGAGAGAAACGAAAAAATAGGAGAAATGAGTATAAATATGAGGACTCGCAATGAGGCCTCAAGAATTTGATCGTAAATAGCAACTGGATGGCGAACCTGCAGAAGCTACATATCGCACACCGTCTTCAAAAGAGACACAACTCAAAATTTGTGATTTTTGAAATTATGCGCTAAAGACGTACTCTTTTATTTACCTTTCAGCAAAAGCCGGAGCAAATTTTTATTATAACTTGTTAAAAAAACAAATGATTACCATGTGCTAAGAAATAGTTTTGCGCATTTTCTGACAAACGTGCAATTTTGAGTTGTGCCCCTTTTGAAGACGGTGCGATATGTATGTATGTATATGCCAAATTAAAAACCTGCTTGAACTTGAATCAATCCGAGCAAACTAGACGTTCATTAAGGTAATTTTTAGTTGTTGAAAGTAGGCATAACGAAAGGTTCGTTCAATCTCCGCCACTATAAACGTGTGCAACACCGCCACATTCGATTGCGTTCCCACGACAGTCGGGTCTACGTAACCGGAACGACCCAGATTTATATCTGGCCAAGGACTGTCACTCCAGCAACACTCCCCAAAAAGTCTTTGGGGAATTTGTATGCTGCTACAACAACAACAACAACATTGCGGCTTTGCGTGTTACTTCTAAAACTTGTGTTCCCTCACTAGAAAAAATAAAAAATCGGTTTTATCAAAAAATATTTCTTGTATGTAAAAATTTGCACGTGTATTCTTTTATTAAGAATGAAAATATAACAAAGTCCTTTTTAAAGCATTTTTATTTTTCCGAGTCCAAGTGGCGAACATATCGCACACCCAGATCTGAAGTGCGATCAACTAAAACAACATGATGACTTTTTTTTGCAAATACAATATTTTTCTTAACAATTATATACACTAATAAAAAGAATTGCTGTTATACCTGTTTTTGTATTAATTGAATTGAATGTTATATATTATATTTCCCGATCTAATTTTTGAGACAGCTCACTTCAGATCTAGGTGTGCGATATGGTTTTTTTTTTTTTTTGGTGTCAACTTGGGCTGGCTTTCCTTTACTGCCGATTTTCTTTCGCTTACTGTATCGAATTGTGTGAACTGAATTAAACCTTTTGCACTTACAAGTACAGTCAACAGATCACTATTTTGTTTAAAAGTCGTTAGGGTTTATTAAACACTTTTCAAAACAGTGTTTTTCGACCAATTTTCTAGGTGCTCCCTATGGGCCTAGGGGGTTGGTGGTGGTATCGTTGGAAACGGTGGCCCATGCCCTCTCTGAACGGCCGGTGGATGGTCTCACGCCGCTCCTTTTCCACCCACCGCAAACACAACGATCGGCCGTAAAGGAAAGTTTCCCAGTTAACTTTTCCGCATTAGCTTATAGATACGAGTGGTTTATCAATGAGACTCTTCTTTATTTTAGCTAGTGCACTAGCCCGTTGACCATCTGTTTTCTCACGTTTTATGTTCTTAGCGCCAAGAGGGATCATTGTGCTGTCATGCAAGCGTCTACGAAATAGTTTGTAGAACTGAAGAACTTGTGCGTTCGCCCAAACCTGTTTTGGATCGAAGTCTAGTATGCGCAAAGAATCCATCGATTTTGCACGCGAAAGAGCTACATAAGCTTGCCCAGCTTCAAACACTTTAGACAACGACATTTCAACGCAGTCCAATGTTAGGCCTTGGCTTTTGTGTATTGAAAAGGCCCATGCCAACTTTAGCGGCACCTGCGTTCGTGTTACTGTACCACCAGATGCAGTCTTTATAATCCATTTTTCTTGCTTACATAAATATTCGCGATTATTCTTAAAACGCACCACTGGTATACCCTTTTCAATGCGTGCAACTACACCTCGTGCCCCATTTACCAGACTAGAAGCAATATTAATGTTTTTAAGTAACATAACTTGAGCATTTACTTTTAAATAGAGACGAGAAGTTGCTTGCAACTGAGAGTCCAACTGCTTCGACATATTCGCATCAGAATCCTCAGCTTGGAATAATATCTTCTCACCGTCTAAGCTTTCAAGTTTAGATTCATTTATTGATTGTGCGTCATTCGTATGAGAACAAAGTTGTGTGGCCAAGATTCCATCACCTTCGATTTTTTGTTTTGATGTAGCACGCAGCCGTTTAGTAATTTCATCATTCACATATCCGATGCGGATGTGATTAAGAATTTTCACAAATTCCGGATCGGATTGCCTATGTACTTGTTTGAGTTCAAAAACGCACTGAATGCATTTTTCCCAAGCACTAGATTGAAAGCAAAAACGTTGTGTTGGGGTAGAGTTATAGTCACTTTTAACCACAGGTGGTAGTTGAAGAAAATCTCCACAAAGAATTAATTGGATCCCTCCAAAGGGTTTGTCGTTCTTGCGTATATGTCTTGCTACTGCTTCTATTTTCTGAAATTTTCACAAATATTTAAAATAAAATCATTTAAGACTAAGTTATAATTATGTATTTTCATACTTCAAAGTACTGTCCATCTAACATTGAGATCTCATCTATAATTAATCGCTTGCATTTACGCCATATCAGCGCACTCCCTGGACGAGACGCTAATTCAATACAACGTGGCAGTCCATAATCACCACCGCCTATACCCGCAAAGGCGTGTAAAGTCGTACCTCCTAAAGGAATACATTGGGAATTGAGTCTACATAAAAATATTTAATTTGCTCACCTATAAGGCATGCTGCTACACCTGTAGAAGCAGTCGCTACAGTGCCATCCGGTGGCAGAGCAGATATAATTTTACGTAAAAGGAAACTTTTCCCTGTACCAGCAGAACCCGTGAAAAATATGCTCTTGCCGGAGGTGCAAGCACGTAGCACTTCCAACTGTTCTTCGCAAAGTTTTACATTTTCTTCAATACCAAGCGACTGTGTACTTTGGTCTTGGTAGAGCCTTTTAGCGGCTGGTGCCTGTGAACTCACTTGTCCATTTGCGCCACTTAAATCCTCATAACGGCGTTTTTTCGCAGCCAATGGCGATGGCGTTGTCACAGAGCCCTTTCCTAGCAAACCAGCCTTTTTTCTGGCCATTATCATTTCGGTAGTTGTTACTGGAGAAACTTCCTCAAAATTGCTAGGCTTACCAGAAAGCATGTGAGCGCGTAACTGTTTCTGTGTAGTTGCTTCATCTTTTTGCTCGCCATTAAGTTTAATGAATATAGTGCGCAGGAAATACATTAACGTACTAGGTGGGGCATTTGATAGATACATTGCACAGTTCTCTGCCTTGAAATTTATCGTTGCTTTACCCTCAGACATAAATTTTTTGTGTACCATTATATCCTTGAGCTTGAATTTTATTGGCTTAGCTTTTTCACCGGTTACATCAATGAAAAGTTCCCTCACATCATTTCGTATCAGACGCAGTGTAGCTGTTTTGAAAGTTACCTTCTTTCCAGTTGCGCCCACTGCATTTGTCCACAAAATATTAATTGCACAAGTTAATACGGCATCATTTAAGTCCATTTTAATTCAAAACTTTTTTCAGTGATGACACGAAATAAAAAATTTTTGTCATAAAAAACGAATATGTAAAAGGAATGACACCCGCCAAAATGGTTGACCTTTTATTTTGCCTTCTTCTTATTGTCGTATATTCACAATGAGCATCCAAATAACCGGCCGTGTTCACAAACTCGCAACTCTCGCGAGTACCCAGTTTTGGTATTTTTAAACGTCAGACGCTGTCAATTCTTTTGAAAATCGAGTTCTGAGTACTTTTGGTAACGATACTGCCAGTGCTAGAATGCTCGGATTGCGGTGCATGTTCGTCGTTTGTGGGGCCTATGGTTCACGAGCGTGTTCACAAAAAATTCAAAAATTTTGAACGCGAACGAACACAATAGAAGTATTAAGAGAAGAAGGACCTGTCTACGCTTCCTATGATCAACTATAACAACTTAGCAAAAGAAAAAGAGGCAGTTGAAGAAATTTTTTGGTATCGGCCCGAACCGAAAAACATTTGAAGCCCCTTTCACAAGGGTACATTGTAAGCTTCGGTGGGTTCTTAGGTAGGGCTGAGGCGGAGAGGCTTTTAACCTCGGTTGACGAGGACGCGGAGATGGCGTTGTTGGAGTAGATCCTGCAGATCAACTTCCAACACTCTAAGGCGGCATCCGAAAATCTTCTTATCCACCTTGAGCAAGGTGGAGCCGATATAGTCCTGACACAGGAACCGTGGCTGAGCAGTAACAGGATTTCTGGGATCAAGACGATGAAGTATAAGTTAATGACGCAGAAGCAAGCAGGTAATCCAAGATCTTGCATGCCCATCAGAAGAGAACGAAAAGCATTTATTTTACTAAATTTCAGCAATGAAGACATTGTTACGTTTAGTCTGGAGGGCGGCGTGGCAGAAGTCTGGCTGATATCCGCATACGTGACACACGGTGACGAGGTGGAGTCACCTCCGTTACGCTAAACGACAGAATGCCGCTATGATTATTGGCACCGATGCGAACTCCAGGCAAACCTGTTCGGGACGGTCGGACATTAACTCAAAAGTGAGACATTTTTTTTTTTTATCTAAGCGAGGACTTAGCCATTTGTAATAGAGGTAACGAACCTACATTTGTCACAGCTGTCAGGCGCGAGATCCTTGACCTCACCCTGGCCTCTTCTTCTCTGTTATCTCTGACAGGAGGACTTCCGACAGGCGTATTCTCTCCAGAAATCCTGTTCCTTGGGTTACCTGAGAGATGCGTCGGGTGGCTGGAAAATGAGCGGGGAATAGTCGATAAAGCTTCTTCTCGACGCCCATTTCCCAGCTAGCCCTGGACCGAGTAGAACTACTGGTTTAAATATCATGGGCTGCTCCGATTCTTCTAGTGAGCTACTGGAGAAGCGCCACTCAACTTTTTCAAGACATTTATGTCACCGGGACCTGACGGCATCATTCCAGTTCAGCTGCAGAAAGTAGCGGAGTTGACATGCCGTTAGCTGACTCCTATCTACGTGAGCTGCATAAATGGGGATACGTCCCATTGGCCTGGAGGAAGGTGAGTAACTTTTATCCCCAAAGCAGAAAAGTCCTCTCACGTATCCCCGAAGCACTTTAGGCCAATTAGTCTCCATTCTTTCCTGAACTGTATATAAGAAACAGCATGCCTATATGAAGGGCAGGTCCGCGGAATCCGCGCTGTATCATGTTCTAAAGGGTATAGAACAAAGACTTCACGGTTGGATATTGAGGGGGCCTTTAATAACGTATTACCCAAGTCGATTGTAAACGCCCTAAGCAAGCTTGGAGTTGAGACCAACCTAGTTGCTTTTATCTCACACATGCTCTGCGACAGAACTGCAAGCTCTGAGTGAGGGAGCGTCTCTACAGCGTAAGGTTAGTAGGGGCACCCCGTAAGGTGGTGGGGGAGGGGGTTGTCTCTGGAGTAACGGATTGGTATATTTTCACGGATGGGTCGAAGCTTGAAGAAGCAGCCGATAGGTTTCGAGCTTGTGAAATGCCTTTAGAGAAATAAATATCTTCTATGACGGCGATTAGAGTCCTGGGAACGCTGGTGGTTAGATCAAAACTACTCTGGGGCTGCGTGACCTCCCTTTCTATTGCCTCGGATTACGTCCACATCAGACTGATTTAGATTCCGGGGTACAGCGACATTGCAGGAAACTACTATGCCAACGAACTGGCGAGGCAAAGCACCTTAGAAGCCATCACCAGCGAAAGGGAAGTTATCGGCGTACCTATGGCAACCTGCGGACCGCTTCTGGACAAATGGGCTTTTAGTCGGCTCAGTGAACGTTGGGCTGAAACATCGATATGCAAAGTTGCGAGGCCCTTTTGGCTGGTAGTTGATCGTGAGCGGTCTAGGAAACTTATACAGCTTACTAAGAGACAACTCTCGAATTTGATAGGGCTTATGACTGCGCACTGCCCCATGGGAACACATGCCGCAACTGTCTAGAGGACGATGGGGGGAATCATCTCAGCACTATCTTCTCAACGGCCCCTTTGCGAGGCTCAGGGTTAAACATCTCGGGTCGTACTTCATGGTTGCTCCAGATGAACTCTATAGAGTGGACATCAGCTGCTTGTGGAAGTTCATAACCAGCACACAGCGCTTTTCTAGCTGTACGTGATTACCTGTTGTACCGTTCCAGGATAATATTTCCTTTTCAGTGGTAACACAATGGACATTCACTCATTGTCTAATTGAGCCCCTTGCAGGGCTGCCACCTTATCTAATCTAACCTATATGAAAGGAGACAAAAATACACCTCACAGATGGAGTGATCAAACTATCAAGTTGTTTGGGTTTTTCCATCATCTGCAGTGAGGACCCAATTATTGCAAAGTGGCAACAATGGTTTGGTTAATTCGAGCGGCGATTCAATTCCTGCCCACACAACTTATATTCCATAAAGCGTCGGACCAAGTTGTCATATGATCACATAACCCGCGGCTGGTCAGTGTTATTCAAAGGCCTCTTCTCGAACGAAGTGCTTCGCATACCGGGCGATCTATCGAGCTACTAAGCTTTATATCTGTTACAGCGGTTCTTTTCCTGGCCGGGCGACCCTCTTTTCTGCCACGCGAGGAGAGCTTTATGGATACAAAGGAAAAATTTCAACTTCAACACCCCTAAAATAGGACTTCAGAGTTTATAGAAAAATGTCAATTGGATCCACAACCTGCGCCTCGACTAAAGCTTCGGCACCAATGAGATTTCATACGGTGGGGAATGTTACAAAGGAAGTACAAAGCAGATACAAAAACCACGCCCACCAATGCAAATACTCCTTGGAAGGGATAGCCTGAAGCCTGTGGATGCACACAGGGTCTAAGGGAAGGTCTTGGACTTCACCAGAGCACCCAATTCGGTAACGCAAATCATTTCGATCAACAAAACTCTGTTATACATATGTATGTATGTATGTATGTATGTATGTATTAAGTTGTTCTCAAGCGATTTTATTTATTTAATACTAAGCCAAAAATTTACAATTTGTAGTTGTTCTTTATCACAATTAATACATACTTTAAAATTCGGTATAGTTCCTTATAATTGTATTTAACAACTGTTATTTTTCGCTCTTAATTAAATGATAGAAATATTAAATAGTATGATTAATAAATGAAATATGTTTTACTAATTTACTCACAATAAGAAATGCACACTGATACGATTGATTAATTATTTATTACAGGATCTTTCAATGAAAAATATAACAATATTGTAATTTATGGAGCTAGAAGTTAACACATTTGTTTAATTAGTGTT